TTCTCTCGAGAGTTTGTTCAGAAGCTGATTGGCCATGCACAACTGCTCCAGATTTTGTCAGCTCCAGTTTTGATAATTTTCCTTCAGAGCGTCTTCCAAACTCTATGACACAAGAGAACAATTCAGCAGCCAACTAACACATGAAAGGTATTATCAAAGGGGAAGAGATGCAGGTGACATGCCTGGTAGGTAGATATAATTTGTGATGGGCAAAAAAAATAAAAAAATAAACCTAGAAAAAAAAGAAATGGCGTTGTAAAGTCCAGTTCCTACTGCATTTCTGTTTAGTATATAAAAAGTAAGTAATCTTAAATTAAAACCAACCTTTTTCCCTGTGGTTCCAGTATTCCCAGGACTTCCTTTGCCACCTTTAGCACCAAAAGCACCCTGAAAATAAATACAAAATGAAGTAAAATTATGTTATGATTTACAAAACATCAGTATGTTAGTAATAGTAATGTGTAAGAAAAGCAAAGATGGAGAATGTATAGGACATTTTTTAGTTTAAGTTGTGATTTGATTACATAGCATAGCTATGGCTGAAGTCCAAGTAAGTCAGCTAGATAGACATAGTAATCATACAAATTGCAAAAATAAAGTGTCCTGTGTATATATCTTTTTTAGAATTTATGAGAAAAGAAAATATGTTTTCATGTACAGAAATATTTTACCAGAAGTCCGTTAGGTCCTTGTCCTCCTTTTTCACCTTCAGTACCTTTACTTCCTGCAGCTCCCTGTGGAAAAATCAATATGATATAAAATGATTTCAAAATTTCTTACAGAAAAAGTATTTGAAGGTAAAAAGGAAGGAAAAATATTCACAAACAGTACAGATGGTTTTGCTCTCTATTTGTCATTAATAAATTAGTATATTAAGGGATTGCTTACACTGGTAGCCATTTGTCACACTAAGGCCCCATTCACACGTAGCGGCATACCTTTTGCAGCGGCCGGGATAGCGCGACTTTCGGGGCGACGTTCTTCGTCGGGCTCCATTAGAAAAAAGCAAAATCGCGCAAAATCCGCCGAAAAAAGGGTCCTGTAGAAGCGACTTGCGACCGCAACGAGCGACATGGAGCTAAGACAGCTCCATTGATATTATCATTATCGCGGCAAAAATGCGCGATATCGTGGCGGAAATCACGCAATAAATCGCTACGCGTGAATGGGGCCTAACACGCAGTGGCGACTCTAGGAACAATATATAGGGGGGGCACATAAGATACCACAGTCAAATCTGGGGGGGCACTAATAATTTTCATTGCATGTCGCAACCGCAGGGCGCCGAGAGCTGATTTAATTGCAGATGGCATCTGCGCCCTGTGGTTGCGACATGTAGTCCAACGCCGCCCACAATCCTGAATACACACATCGTGTATGTGCGGCTGTGCGTGGCTCCATACCGTCTGCAATCTTTTTTTTTTTTACTTTTAAATGCGTGTGTTCGCAGGGGCTGGGGCCTTTAATATTTTATGGGGGATTTTTAATTTTAGTTTATTTAACTTTTTATTTTTTTTAACTTTTTTTTATTTTTTATTAAACTTTATTTTTTTACATTTTTATTTATTTAACTTTCTTTTTTTAACTTTTTTTAATTTTAGTTCATTTTATTTTTTTAAACTTTTTTTTTTAACTTCATTGCTGGGAGCAATAGCCAGCCTGCTATTGGATATTTCAAATTGCAATAGCCAATAACAGGCTGGCTACTGCACCCTCGCACTGCCTGCTGTCAATCAGTAGATGAGGGACCTGAATTTTTCCATCTGGTAGATTGACAGCAGGCAGTGGGCGGGTGCAATGGCCAGCCTGTTATTGGCTACTGCAATTTAAAAGAGCCAATAGCAGGCTGGCTATTGTGGTCAGCTGTTGGAATGAAGACGATCGCGGGGCTGTCAGCAGGAGAGGAGCGCAGGCGCCGCTGAGAGGCGAGTAGACTGCAGGGGGAGGTTCTCCTTACAGGCTGTAATCGACAATCTGTCCCCACTGACACAGATCGCTGCAGCCGATTACAGCCTGTAGGGAGAGACCGCTGACAGTCTGTGAGGCTGCAACGGGGAGAACCCCTGTCCCAACAGATAACTGTGTGATAACTGTCCCGGGCACAGTTATCTGCTGGGACAGGGATTCCATTTATCTTTATCTAGCCTTGCGCTAGCG